GAAGGATGTCAATAAGAAATGTATAAGAAGCATAATTACTCAAAATTAGTGACATGGGATTGCCCTGTGTCCAACAAATCTTCAGATCTAAAATTTGACCATGATAGCAATAGCTCCTAAATACAATGAAAAATGTTATATGCACCTTTGCTTTTACACTTTGCATGACACACTGACATAGAAAGTGGCTTTGAAAAAAACAAACATAAAGCAAACCAAATAATGCATCTCTTCAAGCGGGTTTCTGGAGTTAAAAAATGGGGCAATCCAATAAAAGAAATAATACCGGGTATTCCAAAAAATTGAAACCTCTCTCATTTTCATTGGCCGCCCAAACCAAAGGAGAGCATCATCTACCACCTACCCATCCCATATTCTGTCACCAGTTGGGGTCGTCGATTTCGGCTCATATTATATTAAGATTGACGCGGGTTGAATTCGGAAGCAAACTGAAACCAGGAAGTTTTATTGATTCGAAGAGATGACAAACAAAGGTATTTCCCATCCTATTTTAATGTGAAAATGGGGGTGATTGTTAGTTCATTTTTTTCTTCTTCTTTCTTCAACAAATCACTTAATGACTGGTTTTACTAGATTTTATTTGGCACGGCATTTCGTAGTATCAGTTCGATCCATTAGGTTCTGACAAATTATAAGCTAGAAATCTGTAAACCCATTGTGAATATGCTAAAAATCTATAAACCCATTATGAATCTACGGGTTAATAGTAAATTGGTCAGGTTTTGTTGGAGATTTATTGGCTCTGTAGAATGAGTGATTATCTTGTATGAATAAAAAATTGTTATGTGAATTAGTTTTAACATTCTTTAATTAGTTGTTTATTGTAGCGAATGAAAATTTGGAAGACGTGGATGAGCATATTTTGTTACAATCCGATAATGAGAACATTTTGGATAATGTGAACTTAGTGGATGATGGAATTGTAGGAGTAGATGGTGCAATTGTGCCTAAGGGGGTTGAAGTTCAACGATGAAAAATAAATGTTTGATTTTTACAAAAGATATGTGTATGACGCAGGCTTTTCAGTTAGGAAAAGAAATTCACAAAAGGATGATGATGGAGTTGTCTATATGTTGTGTTCACACGTAGTCGTGAAGGATGAAGAAACGGTATTACATGCGGTTCTTTGAAGCAGCTTGCTACCATCAAACAGGTTGCAAAGCCAGACTTATTGCTTCTATAGATGCATGTGTAATATGGAGAATTTAACACAGTCAATCACAATCACAAAACAAGTCATTCAAAATCAAGATTGCACCATTGCAACCGATAATTGAGTGCCCATGTTAAACGATGACTTGAAGTGAACGATATAACAGGGATTCCATTGCACAAAAGTTACAACTCTGCAGTCGTAGAAGCAGATGGATATGAGAATATGTCTTGCGTGGAAAAGGATTGTCGAAACTATGTTGAAAAAGTGAGGCGGTTAAGACTTGGAGAAGGAGATGTCGCAGTAATACAAGCTTACTTTTCGAACATGCAAGTAAGGTGCCCAAGTTTTTACTTCAGTATGGATTTAGACGAAGAGTCGTGGCTGAGGAATAATTTTTAGGCTGATAATAGGAGTAGACAAGTATATAAGGAGTTCGACGATATTGTAACATTTGATACCACGTGCCTAACTAATAAGTATGACATGCCATTTGCACCTTTTGTTGAAGTTAATATCATGGAAAATCAACACTACTTGTAATTTGGTGTCGAATGAAAATTCAGAAACATTTGTATGGCTTTTGAGGACTTGGCTTCATTGCATGCATGGCCAAGCTTCCCAGGGAATTACGGACTAGGATAAGGCTATGCGAAATACAATTCAGATCGTGTTTTCGAACACAGGCATAGATAGTATGGCACATATTGAAAAAGTTGCAAGAAAAGTTGGATACCATGTGGATAAGGGTGCAATTTTTTCAACTATATATGTATTGGTGTACGATTCTCAAACTGTTGAAGAATTTGAAGAAAGTTGGGGAGCGATGATCAATGCATTTAACTTGCATGATAACAAATGGTTGTGAGGAATGTAAGCGATTAGAGGCCGTTGGGTACCTTGTTATTTAAAAAATAATTTATGGGCGGGAATGTCGACAACTCAATTTAGTGAGAGTATGATTTTTCGATGGGTATGTACATTCAAAGACGTCGATGAAGCAATTTGTTGAACAATACGATCGGGCATTGAGAAATAATGTAGGGAAGGAATTTCAGGCAAATTTCAAGTCATTCTCACAAATGGTACCCTGTGCGACGAAGTACGAGATGGAAAAGCAATTTCAACAAGTTTATACCATCTCGAAATTCAGGGAAGTTGAAGATGAATTCATTGAGAATGTTTATTGTGACCTCATATCTGCTTTGAAAGGCTTTTCGAGGACGACATACGAGTAAAAGGAGGATGTCATACATGATGAGCGTGTTGACAAGAAAACGTTTTTCGTCACATTTCAAAAAGAAAAATGTGAAATTGTTTGCACCTGCCAGTTATTTGAATTTCGAGGAATAATTTGCAGGCATGTGATCACCCTGCTGCTCTGTTATAACGTCAAATCACTGTCGAACATCTATATATTACGGAAAAGGTAGAGAGATGTGAGTAGAGCCCACACGAAGATCGCAATACACTACAATGGGTTAAGTAACACTCCAGGACAGTTGAGATATGATAAAATGTGTCAATCATTTGCTTCGCTTGCGGACATGATTACAGATGATGACGATCAAGCCTGAGCTATAACAAAGTGGATAGAATGCAAAAACAAATAATAAAGACGACAAGGTAAAGTTGTGGAAGTAATGTGTCCCAGTAGATTGTCCAGAGAGCTTCGGAGAGTAGAGCATCACAGCATACTGACAAGGGAAACATACATGATCCAACATGCTCTAAGAAAAAAGGAGCGCCCAATAAACTTCGAAAAAGCCCTTTGGAATCGAGTTCCAATAAGGTAAAGGCATGTGTCAAAATTATTTAATATATTATGAAAGAGACTGAGTGCACATCCATGTTAAATAGGAGACAGTGCACCTATCATTCAGGCACACCATCAAGCATAATACTACACGCCTTCTCCAATCTCATATTATTAAGTTTTTCAATGAATTTGATTGCCACGTTTTTACTTACATTTTAGTTGATATAGGGTGATGGCAACAGTCATGTGCTCACACAACACTTACAGTCACCCAATTTTCATCCATCTATCTTCAACAACTGTTACACTCAATGGTCAAGGTAATGACTTGATTAAACATACGTAATTTATATTCCTCGTTTTCTCTAATTCGTGTATTAACTTTTCTATTTTACAGAACGAAACGTAATGCTGTACTATTATCCGAATGTATCTAACCAACGTGGCTCAAGATTGTGACATCAAGTGGGGTCCTGGCTGGAAAAAGACACAAAAAAATGTAATTTGACACAAAGAATACATATTCTGTACGAATTTCAAGAAATTCTGATCAGAAAACTGATTATTATCACAACAACCAGATCGTAGAGTAGAGAAACCTTTAATTTAGACTTATTGGACTTGTTACAGAGAGAGAAAAACAAATAGATAGTCTTCGAGAGAGAGAGAGAGTGGGAGAAAGGGAGAAGAAACTGATCTGGGTTATTACTTTGACTTTGGTGAAAATGCAATTATACAAATATATATATATATATATATATGGAGCTCGTTTGATAGAGATTAAAATCGGATTAAAATTGAAAAATTAGTCATTATTGTTGACTTTTATTAGACGAGTGGAACCCAATAACAACTATATTTTCAATTTTAATTCATCCCAAACAAGCTCATGCTTTGATTTTGGTTTACAGTTTATTTGGAGCTATAGTTAGTTTTTTTTTTTTGATAAAGGATTCTAATCATAGCACGTGGCTCTGATACCAATTATTGTAATTATTCAATAATCATGTTAAGAACAAGAATCACATATATCAATTGATAGTTCGAAATTCATACTTGCGGAAGACATTGTTGTCTATTAATATTACCAGCTAGATCTTTCTCTCCTTACTCCTCAAAATAATCGTCCTTTAATAGGACAAGCCAAAACATATGGAGAGGAGAGGGGACCTAGCCATTATATATGAAATTATAAAATCGGCCCATTATCGACCTTAACCCTAATTAGAGTTTATTTAATTTCTGCCCACATACTTAAAATTACCACATTATAAATAATAAAGCCTGGAAGGTGTACAACGGCCCAATGATCACTAACATATTGAGCCTAATCACAGTATTAATGCAAACCATATATCTAATCCGTAAAAATCGCAATCAAATGGAAGCCCACACAATAGAATAATGGGAAAAATTCATTTTTCCTACTTTATCTTTACCCTATTTCAAAAATAACAAAACAATTTTCACATTTCAAAATAAATAAATAAATATAATTAACCTATCCCTACCCCCACCTCCACCACACCCACCCCACCAATCCGGCAACCATCCCGGCATTGCTCCGGTGACCGCTCCGATGTCGATTCCGGCGACTGCTCCGATTCCGGCGACCGTTCAGGTGACTGCTCCGATTCCGACGACTCAGGTCATATGTCACAGCCCAGATCACAATTCAGGTCACAAGTCACCGTCCAGGTCACAAGTCACAGTTCAGGTCACAACTCAAGTCACAGTCCAATTCACAAGTCACAACCCAGGTCACACCGTCACAACCCTACCACCACTGCCACTTGTGCACCCTCACCCCACCACCACCACAACACCACAGGGAAACCACCACCTCCACCCCCATTAGAAATGCACCACCGTGACCCTCACCACCAACAAAAACGAACCACCACCACCACCTAGCCACCGTCGCTGTCCACCGCCACTGCCACCAACAACAACCTACCATTATATCATCCAGCACTACCACACAAATCAGAACACACCGCACCACGACAGCACATCACCTTCGCCACAGATCCACTGCTACAGCCATACGTCGCTGAAGAAGGAGAAATGGGAGTGAGCTGCCACACTACACCACCACCACACACCACATCGCACCACCACCGCACACAGATTCGCGCTGCCACCAACTATTCGCACGACACAACCTCACCTACCGCCCACCAACTGCACGACAAAACCTCCACCGCCAACCGTAAGCACAGACACCCACTGCAAACCCCACCACCATCGCGCTAAACAAAAAAAATGGAAAAGAACAACAAATCTGCGTGCTCAGACCATGGATATGCACAGCTGCTCCTCTAGCTGTGCTCGGTGAACCTCATATTCGCCGTTCCGTGAAGCAGCATCCGATGTAGATGAAGAGAGAAGACCGCCGGCAAAGAGAGAAAACTTCAAACAGACCGTTGCTAGCATCCGTCGTCGTCGTCGCCACTACGGCGCCATGCACCAATCGGCTACCACAACCACGGCGCCGACACCCCTCCCACACCGCAAACACCCAAGAGAGAGGGAGGAGGAGGGAGTTCAGTTACGGTGAAAGTCGAGAATTAGGGATTTAAAATTGTGTGTGGGGGGGTGGGGTGGGTATAAATTAATTTTTGTAATGTTATTATTAATTAATTGTAATAAAATCTGTATCTATATATAAAATATCTGATTTTTGAAAATTAAAATTTAAAATCTGATTTTTGAACTTGGATCTTGAAAAGTAGGGTTAGCTGTAATTACCACTAGAATAATTCCAACATTAATATCAAGAACTAGAAACTTAATATCGATTGTTTGGAGAGGAAGAAGTATAAACACGGGGTCGAGCAAAGTCACGTCTTAGGCAGGTCAACTATTACCTAGGATTTTCCTATTACTTAATTTTTTAAAAAAGATTAAAAAAAAGGCTCAACGTGATTTACATCTTTAGATCAGATGTACTGAACAGAATAGAGTATTAGAAGAAAAATGTCTATTTTTTCTTTATTTTCATCTTTAGATCAGATGTATTAAACATGTGTTAAGAGTTAGATTGGCAAAGTAATTTTTACTCAAGTAATTAGAAGATTGTTTGGGAGGGATTAAAAATGAAAAAATTAGTCGTTATTGTTGACTTTTATTAGATAAGTGAAATTCAATAACATCAATATTTTTAATTTTAATCTCTTTCAAACAAACTCTGGGTTAGATCAACAGTGTTTAAAATTGGAGAGTTGCTTTGGTTGGGTTAGAAGGGTATTTCGGGCAGTCACAAACGTAATTTTCGAAAAATTTCAAGGGCCATCTCGTCAACCGGCATTAAATCGCCCTAGGGTTTTATGACAGCAGCATATATAAGGCCTTTGCCTCTACTTGAAACTCCTTCAATAAGCCGCGGGAGTAAAACCCTAGACTATTCCGGTACCTGGAAATCTCTACATCGCTGAACTTTGTGCATATACGAATGTGTATGCGATTTATGCATTTAACGTGTTCAATTTTTTATACTTTGAGTGCAGGGTATTAAGGAGTGCAGTGAAAATGGCGACTGTTCCAGGACAGCTGATATGGGAGATCGTGAAGAAGAACAATTCGTTTTTGGTGAAGGAGTTTGGGAACGGAACTGCCGGAGTTGTGTTCAGCAAGGAGCCCAACAATCTCTACAATCTCCACTCCTACAAGCATTCTGGTTAGTATTACACTATCATGGTATTTAGCAGTGAATCTTTTGTTCTTTGGTTCGAAAATCGATTTTTTATTAGTTTAGAATTTGTATTTTTGATGTAATTGGTGTTGATCAAGGATTGTGAATATGAATTTAGAGCTGGGATTACTTTTCTTGGCTGAAAAATTGGCAGTCAGAGATAGTTTGGGCTATGTTTGTTAAGATCTGTTCCGTAATATTATTGAGAGATTTTTGTGATGGCAATTCTGCTGCACTATAATAGTTGTGATGATTATTTGGGATTTAATTTTCTTGGTTGCTTAGAATATGAAAGGGAAGGAAATATTCTTTTGTTTAAATCATGGGCCAATCGATATACATATTTACGTGAAACTTCATTTATTCCCCTTTAGGAAGATGATTTTACAACTTTTTAGTAACATTTTACCAGTTATCATCTTGCTAAGATTCCATTTTCTTGTCTAGAACAATGGTTGATAATGGAAAGAATGGACTCTGTAAGAATTGAGCTGTTTTATTTAACTTGTATGCAAATTAGGTTCAGTGTCTTCATTTTATGTGGATTTTTTATGGTGCACGTCAATTTGATTTTTCCTATGATTGCATATAAAAGTGATCCTTTTGTGAATTATTATTATCTATAGGGTTGGCAAACAAGAAAACAGTGACAATTCAACCTGGCAAGGATCAGTCAGTGCTGCTTGCAACATCAAAGACCAAGAAACAGAACAAGCCTGCCAGTGTGCTTAACAAGTCTGTCATGAAGAAAGAATTTAGCAGTATGGCAAAGGCTGTTTCAAATCAGGTATCTCGTCCTTGCTGTGGTTTGTATTTGTAAGCCTTACTCGCTGCTATATTCTGTCGTGACTTCTGTAATAATACTTGAAAATTAAAATCTTTGGCAAGTTGATCATTTCTTGAATCAGTTCAAATCAGGTATCTAGTCCTTGCTGTGGTTTGTATTTGTAAGCCTGACTCGCTGCTGCATGCTGCTGTGACTTCTGTAATAATGCTTGAAAATTAAAACCCTTGGCAAGTTGATCATATCTTGAATGAGTTACCTGGTTTATTCACTATATAATTCTGTTCAACTTCTACTTTAATGGTACTTTATGAATGGGGTATGTGTATTGGCCTTGTAATTGATACTAAAGAAACATAATGGAATCCAATAAGTTGAAATCAACTTTTGTCATGGTGTAGTATTTAGGTTTTGTGCAATATATTTACAATGCCTCTTCTAATTTTATTCAAATATAATCTTCTATTTTCTTAGACCTTTTGTCTGCATCCTAATAAATTAATTTCAATACTATAGTTTGACCACCAGAAAAAAAATATTGTTTCTTCCGTTGTGCAGTAGTATTTTGTTTAGCTATCTCTTTTATCCCCATTGTATCTGGTCCTCTCTCTCTGAAGAGGTGAACAATCACTTTTACTCTTTCCACATTCCTTCTTCCAAATAGCGTATAATCATCAAAAGAAATTGTGAATCAATTTGGAGTTTCAGTAAAAATCATGGATACAGGGCTTTGACCTCAGATTAGCTACTTTTTTGCTCCAACAGAGCAGTAGATTTGATGTTATTACATTGGCATATGTTTTGAGACTTTTGAGTTATTACAATGTTCATTTGTTCTTATGTATTGTGGATAACAAGAACAGTCGTTAACCTTTTCATTTGGGTAAATTCACCCTTCTCGAGTGCAGGTGGCGGATAACTATTACAGACCAGATTTGAAGAAGGCGGCTCTTGCAAGATTGAGTGTTGTGCACAGGAGCCTTAAAGTTGCCAAATCTGGTCCGAAGAAGAAGAACAGGCAGGCTTAAGGTCCCTGGTATCAAGTGAAGTAGCAGATAAATTGTTTTGATGCTATACTACCAGTTTTTGAGGGTTTTATTTTTTGTGAACTTATCTTTAGTTGACTCTAATATTATCCTTGTTATGGAACCAAATTGACATACTACAATTTGTTTCTCTTTTACATCTAGTGTCTGTTTGACATCTTTCATATGTGCTTTTACATTGGATGTGAGATTCTACATTTTAAGCCAAAATTTTTGATCACACACTTAAAATTTGCTCTTGAAATACTTGTTACCTCCCTTTTGCTAACTAGACTTGATGTGCTTCATTCGTGATATGGTATTCATCTATCCCTTTTACCTGCTTGAACCCACATGCCACGGTAATCTGTATTCTCTGCTGTCTTTTTTCACAGGAGTCGGTTTTATGATTTGATTTTATGACTCAGTCCATTTTTCTGTCTGCCCTTTTCTTTATAGCTTGTTACATTTCCTCTCGCACCCAATTCCAACATAGACGGTAGTACATCGTCAAAGGTCCCTATGCCTATTGGGAAATAAAAATTGATTTGCTGTTATTGATGAATACTATTTTCGAGTCCTAATTTAGTGTGTTGGTCAAATAAGCTCTCGAAAATAATTATAAAAAAATAGAGAAAAAATTACTTGGTAAACAAGCAATGAAGTCTGTTGGAAAGATTCTTTATGCTTGTATGCTGAAACTACCCATCTAAGCACATCGTGTGGTGGACACATTTTCCCATTGTTTCTTACAAGTCAGCAATCAAATTCTCTTCCTGGTTGGTGAGATGAAACTATTGTAAATTTGACTAATCTGCAGAATATGCTGAAAAATCAAAGTCAATGAAATTAGTTTCGACACGCATGGATGCAAATACAAAAAATTATCTATAAATACAGAGATCCTATGAGGCAGAAGAATAAAATAAAGTGCTCTCAATTTCATCAAATGGAAAATGACTCCGTAGGCAAGTCTGAATCCTCCAAGAATACAAAGCGAAGGCGCTCTAATAGCTGTTTTTCCTTCAAGGAGATATATATTGATCCTGGAGTGAAATCCCTTGACCATTTGGATTCGGAAAAGTTCAAAAACAGCATCAAGAAATGGGCTAAAGCAGTCGTCACATATGCCCGACAGGTGAGCGACCATTTTGGCAGCACTCGTGGCTAAATGAATCGCAAAGTATGAATACTCTGGCTTGCTATCCTTCGTTTGAGGTCGATGTCCACGAAGAATTGACTGTTTATTTGTAATATAAATTCGTTAATAATGGAAAGGAAGTACAATTTGTTTGCTTGAAGTTTGAATACATGCATGGCTTCTTGTGGCCAAAATGAGATATATTCTGGAGAGGTGTTTTAAAATTTTAAAACAACTCTGAAAGGAAAAGTCTCCAAACAGTGAGGCCATGATGGCGTCAAAGCTCTTCATATTAGGTTTATAAGCCCTTTTGAGTATTTTGCTTTACAATTTAAATTTGAAAGTATTGTAAGGGGTGGATAAAAGTCCGAAGGATTCCATGTCTTCTGGTGAAGGATTTTTTTATTTTTATTTTTTGGCAGTTCTAAGATCCTTGAAAAATAGCTGATAGTAATGGAAATTCAGGATCCTATTTAATATTCGCATCTAAGTTTGTATATATATGTATATGAATGTATTAATTAGTGAATTTTAGAACTTGAAAGAACCAAACCAAAACCATTCGTTATTGTTCCCATCTATAATATTAAAAATTATTCAATATATATATAAATGCATTAAAACGTAAAAATTATATATATATGAAAACATAATTCAATACAATCCAAAATACTAAAAAAATACGCAATAAAAACTTAATTCACGTCTAAACGTGAATTAAGTTTTTATATTTGAAAATGATTTGTCGTGGTGAGGATGATGATTTATTCATTAGATAATTGGGCTAATAATATTATTTTGGCTTGTGTATCCAAATTTAATTATTTTTTATCTATTGGTTTATGAATTGCTTGAAATTATGATCTAAGACTCTTCGTAAAAGATGATTATTTGTGTATGAAATCACAACATTTGTTGCCTGAATGGGGTCGAAAAAACTTTTAACGATTAATTAGTAATTCAGGGTCGAATACATTTTTGCTTCCAATAAATTTTAGGACCACATGAATGTTTTTTTGGCTAATTCAATTTGGAATATTCAAAGTAGTGAATTAATTAAAAATATTAAATTATATATTCAACCTTACATCATATTCCATATTTTACGCAAGGGAGTGAAGAAAAGTGATTTGGTCCAATTTATTAAGAATGTAGTTGTTAGCATCTCAACTTTGTGATATTTTAAAAGGAACAATACATTTTTAAGGTATTTACTTTACACCATTTCAAAAATACAAAAACAAATTTCAAATTTCACAATCAGGTTTTTTAATTTTTTATTTATAAAATAATGAATTATTAAATCAATTTATTATTAAATATTTAATTCTAATATAATATAATATAATTACCCCACCCCCAACTCCACCACCTCTACCGCTCCGGGAACTATTCCGGCGACCGTTCCTATCCCAGCTCATCTTCGGCGACCATTTCGACGACTGCTCCGATTACGGCAACAATTCCAATGACTGTTCCGCCGCCACTTTGTTCTGGCAATTGCTCCGATTCCGACAAGTGTTCCAACTCCGGCAAAATTTTTTAGGACACAATTCAAAATTTTCATAGGTCACAATTTGTTCATTGGTCACAACTTAAAAATTTGAAAATCACAATTTGTTCATCGGTCACAAATCACAAAATTTATAAGTCACAGAACTTATTTATGGTCTCAAAACATCAAATTATATGTCACATATTACTTTTTTTGGTCACAATTCGATTATAACTTAATAAAATGT